TACTTTATAAAGGAATTCAAATAAACCGTTACCATGTACATGTTTATCGTCACTTCATTTATTCAAACAGTATAAGTGCTATGTTGTCTATATTTTGTATTACTCTAATGTATATCAGTATTGTATTGGTGTATAACTATAGTCAACTGATATACAAGTGGTATGTTAAGCTAGGTATAAAACCAAGTTAAACAAACCATTTTCTTCGAAATATGTCGGTACCAAGTATGGAATATGACAGTTCTTTTCCTGTGGTTCTGTTGGTTGATACAGTCAAGCGTTTGGTTTTTTTTTCAGTTTTTAAAGACTTCCCCTTTTTAAATTTACCTTGGAGTTCGATATTTTTGTTATTACCTTTTTTTTTTGTATATTTGTGTTATACTGTTCTTGTGTATCTACATCATACATTATGTTCTTCTGTTATAAAATTTAATGCGAAAATGAGTTTTTCCAATTAAGAAAATACTACCGTAAGCTGTGTTGAATTTTAGTCCTGCGGAATTTATCCCATTCAAAGTTTGGTGTCTGTTTGACAAATGCTGAGGCGACATGTTTGCCATCTTTTGATCTAGAAGTTTCAAAATATATCTTTTTGTTATTTATAATGAACGAGAAATGTAAAGCACTGTTTGGGTAGTTGGGTAATAAAATCTAAGTAAAATAAAATAAAGCGGTAATAAAAAGTTCAACTGCATTATTAAAGTTGCCTAATTTCAACTAACTAAATAAAAAATAATTAGAAATTATACACATTTTTAAAGTATTTTCTTATTTCTTTTATATTATGTTAATTACATTACGTCTACAGTTTTCATTTAAAAAGAAAAATAAATAAAAAGATAAATAAATAATAAAAAAAGCTCGCTTTACTTACCAACACTTCTACTGACTTAATTATTAGTGAATTTTTGATAAATTGTTTTTCATATTAATCAATGGCAGACGACACCTGTTGTTCTATGAGCACGCGAATTGATTTTATCTCCAAATAACGGTAAATTTTAAGTTGTTTCTACTGTTTACGGTGCTCCCTTGATTTGCTGGGAGCAAATCGTTTAAATTGGATATTTGTAAGCAATAGTTTATGCAGATTATTTGATTTCATATCACTTTCATCTGATTGTAACATATTGAAAATGTAATTATATTATGAATAACAATATTTTGATTATATCAAATTATGATAATATTTTTCCCAACTTGGAAATAGAAAATTCATGACTGTTTTTTAAATATTTTTTTAGAGGAAGATTATCTAACTATATAAGACGAGCAGTTTTATCTTTCTGTCATTTAATAATCGTGTTTTTTGTGTGTAGTTGTCATAGATTTTCCTAAAAAGATCAACTGCAAGGCTTACAACTCCAATGAGCTGATGTCAATTCTGATTTGGCAATTATTTCATTTGATATAACAGAAACAAATCTTCTACTTAGCAGAATCCTTCCATTGAATTATTAATTCGGTATTTGTTTTGTAGTTATTGACACAGGTTTAAAGATATATAGGGAGCCATACTGAATCCGTTCTCTGAACCATAAATTCTTTTAAATGCATGCCAAATTAAAAAAAACTATGCAAATGCGAAAACGGTTAGCTTAGCTAAGCTTCATTTGATTGTACAGTGAGTTCTGGCGAATATATTCTTTTTATTATTTCCCATAGTTTCAAATACATAAATCACTTATCTATGTAACGGCCATGATGGATGGTGGTACGAATTGTCGAGATGGTAGCTAATTATCATGAAAACAGTGGAAACTTAGTCTATAATGAGTCGCAGGTTTTAGGGGGGGGGGGGTAGGTTCTAATAAACTTTGTTTTTTGCTTTTTTATATCAACAAAATCGGTCGCTTTGTTAAAATACTGGATCCAACATTGGAAACTACATATTACACATAAACATACACGAAACTGAACATTTAAATAGAACCACAACGATTTAGTTCTGCTCACACACTGTTATATACGAGAGACCACTTAAATGATATGTGATACAGTTCGGACTAGAGGTGTATTCCTAACGTCTACACCCATTTGCGGGGCTTCCGTGGCCTAGCCGTTACAATCAGGCATCGAACATGTAAAATACCAAAATCATTGAGTTTATGATTTTCTCTATCACTCGAAATAACATGTAAAAATCCACAATTTTACCCGTCTTCACGCCATAAATGTTGAAAACTCATATAATAAAACTCATCATAGATGATAAAACCCAACCAATGTTAGACAATAAATTCCACAATAGTTTTCTCGCTACTTTGAAGTATTCAAAACGTGTTTACCTAGAACTTTTTTTGTGGAAAACATTAAGATTTGCTTAAAAATATCTAAACATCCAAAACGTCACGAATATCGCGAGTAACGTCTGTATATTTTGAAGCAAAATGTAAATGTGTAATGAGAAATTATTTTATTTATATACAGTTCTTGAAACTGCGACTTCGGAACAATAGAAAAGCTACCCTCCATGTGATTAGGGTTCAAAGTCAATATTTATTTACCAAAGTATTACTAACAAAACTTATAGAAATTTTAAACATTTGTGTAAAACTTAATTTGAATGTATGTACAAAGGCATATTTTCTTACGTTCAATATTTACCAATTTATTTTCGACTTATGAGTATGAATGTCCCTTTGGTATCTTTCGCCTCTCTTTTACCAAGAAATGAAGGGATTGCATCTTTAACTTATATCTGTTGCTTACTCATTAAAGAAAATCTGGAAACCTCATAAACATAGAAAATAAAATTCTATTTATTTATTCATTTTGATAGTTTCCTGATAATCATATGCAAAATATATATCATCCCCAAATCTACTACTTTCCTACAATAAAGTGTTAGGCCATATTAATAATTTCTATACAAATATATTGTCGCTGTGAAAGTATTACTATTTAAAATTATGTCTTTTAATGAAAAGTTAAAAGTAAATACTTTTTAAATAAAAAAAAAAATAGTCATCCAAATAAAAATTTATCTTAGTAAATCATTCAATCCATGTTGTATATATTTTTACACGAAAAAACTTGTCAAAGATACCAGTCTTTTAATCTTGTTAACAAGACGCCTCATCAGTGGCACCCAAATGAAAGCGTTCGGAAGACAAAATTTATTAAGAAGTTGAGGAGCATTGAATACAAAAAGTTCCAAAAAAGCCATCTATGCTGCAAGCAAAAACCTTTGTATTTCGAATTATCTAAATAGTTTACGAACAATACGTTCACAAAAAATGCCCATGTAAATGATATATAATATCATTAAAAACGCGTGCTGCCTATTCGACTGAATGCGGACGAACCGTGCACCAGCTGTGGTATCGAACCTGTGGTTATAAAACTGATCAAAGATACCAGGCTTATAATTTAGTGCGCAAGACGCTCATTGTGTATGACAACCCTCACCAGTGGTGCTCTAAATAAAATATTTGGAAAAAATACTCTATTACGAATTTGAAGAGCATTGAAAACCAAAGTTCAAAAAGTTGTGCAAAATATGGCTATGGCCATCCATGCCTGTGGTATAAAAACATTCGTGCTTAGAATGATTTAAATATTTTACAAACAGTCAATGAACTGGAAATGGCCATATAAATGATATTTCATTAGACTACTTAGCTCAAAATTCAGTACGTATAGGTAGTCTTCTAGTTATTTCGCAGTATTACTAGTAACTGAACTCCAAGGTAAATAATAACAAGAGTGCACACGCTGAAATGTCTCGCCTTCTTTACTAATCATTGATATTATGTTGATAGTCCTAAATATAAAGCTTTATTACAACTGTCACATAAACTTAACATTAACCAAGTAAACTTAACATTGACCAATGAACCATGAAAATGAGGTCAAGGTCAGATGAACCATGCTAGGCAGGCATGTACAGCTAACAATTCTTCCATACAACAAATATAGTTGACCTATTGCTTATAGTTTAAGAAAAACAGACCAAAACACAAAAACTTAACACTGAGCAATGAACCTTGAAAATGAGGTCAAGGTCAAATAAAACCTGCGTGACTGACATATAGATCATAAAATATTTCCATACACCAAATATAGTTGAACTATTGCATATAGTATTAGAAAAAAAGACCAAAACTCAAAAACTTAACTTTGACCACTGAACCATGAAAATGAGGTCAAGGTCAAATGACATCTGCCAGCTAGACATGTACACCTTACAATCATTCCATACACCAAATATAGTAGACCTATTGCATACAGTATAAGAAAAACAGACCAAAACACAAAAACTTAACTATAACCACTGAACCATGAAAATGAGGTCAAGGTCAGATGACACCTGCCAGCTGGACATGTACACCTTACAGTCCTTCCATACACCGAATATACTAGACCTATTGCTTATAGTATCTGAGATATGGACTTGACCACCAAAACTTAACCTTGTTCACTGATCCATGAAATGAGGTCGAAGTCAAGTGAAAACTGTCTGACGGGCATGAGGACCTTGCAAGGTACGCACATACCAAATATAGTTATCCTATTACTTATAATAAGAGAGAATTTAACATTACAAAAAACCTTAACTTTTTTTTCAAGTAGTCACTGAACCATGAAAATGAGGTCAAGGACATTGGACTTGTGACTGACGGAAACTTCGTAACATGAGGCATCCATATACAAAGTATGAAGCATCCAGGTCTTCCACCTTCTAAAATATAAAGCTTAAAGAAGTTAGCTAACACCGCCGCCGGATCACTATCCCTATGTCGAGCTTTCTGCGACAAAAGTCGCAGGCTCGACAAAAAGGAAAGCCCATAAAGCCTAACAAAACAAAAGGCTCTACTATATCAAACAACGGATCGAATGAAAAACAACTCTCATATTCCTGACTTGGAACATGTCCGAAATTAGTAAATTTTTTGTCATCTGAATTCCCTTATATGTACTTTGATCCTGTAAATTTTAACTGCTGTTTATTAAATAAATGAATAAACAAACAGATAAATTTGCAAATGAAATGAAAGCTATTTTGATAAAATTTATTTTACATAAGAAACGTAACAATTGTATATATCTACAAATAATTTAACATTCATGTAAAAACTAACAAATTCAGTACATTAAACGAAAAAACACATACCAACGAAAGATTTTTGTATCTACATTGAAGCATTTTCATACAAAGCACTCCAGATATATTGTCGAACACTCGAATTCCAAAACTAATATTTATCGCCGAAATAAGTTAATGTCGACTATTATAACATATAGTAAAAAGGCATATCAAAGTAATTTCCCGTGTGTTCGCTTGCCAAACAAATGTGAATAAATTGAAAGTTAAGAAAAGAGGAACATGTTATATCTGTTGTAATTGATGCAAACTTATCATACATTTACAATAATCATGTACATATTAAAAAGGAGTAAACCTTCATCTTTTAATAAATATTAAACGGTTATATCTTGGTTATCGGATAAAACTCTTTAAATCAGTCTAATTCTTTTGTTATAGTCCGTTTTATCATTCGTGTGATATCTATGCTTTTTAAGCATTCATGTGATACAGAATTAGGGTATATTTTATGCAAATGGTTGAGACAAACATTCCAGTTATTTGTAAGGGTTATGTCCCTTTACTAAGATCTACCTCGATAATACCAAAAATAAACTGGTCTAATAAATGCACCAAAAGTAAATTAGTTCTTGTATTAAATGCATTAGAAGAAAAAAAACGCCACCTAACCTGTACAGCCACAAACTGGCGTTCCTTACTTTCTATTAATTGTGATGAGCAAAAAATATGTTTACCACTTGCATTAGTTTTTGGTAGTTTTGTGTACTGTCCCTAACAAAATAAAACATTTTCATTACTCTGTGCATGTTATACGCAAAATTGGTACCGTTAATGTTATTATACCCACATATATCAATTTGAACCACATAATAGTTTCAATGTCAACAAATGTTAAGAAAATTTGTAATGAAATTATTTTTTTTTAATTTTCGATGAACAATCAACAAACAAACATTAATGGTACCATTTTTCTGCACTAGATGCTCATTTCGACAATAAATGTCTCTCTTCAGTGGTGCTTGTGGCAAAACTGTTTGAAAATTCAAAGCTCATTGAAAAAATGAAGAACTTGTAAAACATAAATGACTAAAAAATATAGCCAAAGACGGGCAAGAAATCACAGCTTTGCAAAAGGGAGATACATTCCTTGATCTAAAATAATTTCTAATATTTTGTAACAGCAAATTTTAATAACACAAAATCCGTATGTCACTGACAGTGCCGAAGTACTGGCTCCTGGTATCACACGTCGATTTGAGTAAAAAAAAAATAAGGAAATGGTATGATTGCCAATGAGACCTATAAACTGAAACGAAAAAAAAGGCTGTAGACCAATATTATTCATCTATTTTGTTCGATTTGTTTGATTTACTTTCAAATGGTACAATTGAATACAAACAGGTTTAAATGTAATACAATGAGAATAGATTACAGCGATGGTAGTATTTCACAATAATACAACAAACACAAGAGGATGTTTGGCAAGATGTACAGCGTAGCTTTGTATAAAAACTATTCCACAACAATATATAAACATTCGGATATCACAAACATAGAGTCACTAGATATTCACTGACTAGAATTCTCAACGTACAGAGACAGCGTATGTCATTTCTCAAGTTTGTACATGTAACTGTTAGAACGCCCCTTTTGTTTGGTTCTTTTATCACGTGATACAGAAAAGTATTTTGTCATTTTCTAAATGGAAGAACACTCTCACAAATTTGATTCCGCGTCTGTGGTACAGTAATTTTGTTTCCTTAGTCATGATCAAATATTGGGATATGATACATGAGGGTGTATATAATAAAGACTTGAAAAAGCCAACATCTCTCATCTGTTAGTCTGAATACGACATACTGTCACTATGTATGCTATCTGTACTGTTCATCCAGTGTGTCGGACCTAAAAATTAAAAAAATATAGTTAGTGGACATTAGTATCAAATGCGTTAGAAGAAGCAGCTTGGTCAAATAACACGCTCCTCTGTTACAAAAATCCATGTTTTGAACGCTATGCTTATATTATTGGCCGCTTTTCCGCCACTGCAATTTCGTTTACAAGAAAATATTTCACTAACTCAGAAAAACATAAATGAGAAATACTATCAAAAATCTAAATAAAATACAAGATAAGAGCAGCAACCCCAAAAACAACCACAAATCATCACATGGCATATGATTTAGTACAATGAACCCATATTTAATTAAGTGTGATATTGTCTGATACGGTAAAGTTCTTAATTTATATCTATATAATATATATATAACCATAACACTCTATAAATTTGGTGTGTAGGAAGAGCTTTTCTGGAATTAACTTAATCCGGAAACTCAAAACCAAAAATTTCAAAGCCAATGACGATGCATTTATTCATAAATACTGAGGAGCTATATGAAAAAAGGGACGTATAATAATTTATAAACAATGTTTCGGGCCAAAAATTGTGATAGTCAAAGATTTGTGTATACAAGGGAAGCTATGACCTGGTAGTTGAAGTAATATCGAAGAATTGCAGGGTTGTTTGTTCAAACCCCTAGAGAAGGAAAACGAAAAAAAAATGAAAACATAATTTGTCTCCATCTAGATATTTAATTTAATTAAACGAAGTGCTTTTCTGGGTTTATTATCAGGATACTGTCATGGCAAAACATCAGAAAACTGATAAAATATAAAAATGATACATGAACAGTCAACGACAGCCGAGACCAACTTCGTCTTTGGAATTTTAAACATTAGTTTTTGTTAAAATTGCTAAATATTAAGACATCTTTTCACGATGCGTTTTATAAAAATAAAGAGATATGGTATGATGCCTATGAGACAAATATCCACCAGAAACCAAAGGACGAGGATGTTAACGGCTACAAAACGCATACAGCATAGAATGCCTAGGCATTCCAAACGTGAAACAATTCAACAGAGATAACTAATGGGTTAATTTATGCTAAAAACAATAAACGAAAAACTATTATAGCAGACATTAACCGTTTAACGATAACCACTTGATTACAGGTTCCTGACTCGGGGACTAACCCATGAAGAATGTGTCGGGATACTACCTGTTTGTAAGCGCTCAGCTATAACACTAACCTTGGACATTGATGTAATTCATGTGTATGCTCAATAAGTATAGAAGAGTTGTATAATATCTTACTTGATATTTTTGATGGTGACGAAGCCGGTGAAGGACTTGAATTTCCACAGTCACTTCTTGACTGTTGTTGCTGTTTTTTCTGTCGTGCTCTTGAATTTTGGAACCAAACCTGTGTCACGCGCTTGCTCAATCCAGTGATCTGCGCAATTCGTTCCAAATCCTGTCCATCTGGGTTACTATCGAGCTGAAAGTTCGCCTGCAACACTTGAACTTGTTCCTCTGTAAAAGTTGTTCTCACTCGTTTTGTTTTTGACTTCATGTTGCCGTCTTCTGGAAATAACCAACAGTTATCGTTCAAAATCAACAAATTATAAAGCAAAATATAACGAAAAAAATTTGTTCAGAAGTTTAAAATTCACATTAAACATGTCATTTTGCACCGTAACGCAAAAGTTCTTTTTCGTGTATTGGTATGCAGTATGCAATTGTTTATGTAATGATATACATTATGCAAAACTTATACCAAAACTATATAAACCCGATCGGCTCTTATTAACTACAGTTCTATAGAAATATTTTTTTTAACTCCCCCCCCCCCCCCAAAAAAAAACTCCATTAGATATTCTTAACATCGCTCGTATAACCTAAAGTTTTAGCAATAAGTTTGTTCTACCTTTACTTGGGCCTCCTTCCAAAGACTCCACATAATGTGTTTTACATAGCACTTGATCTTCTTGTAAAGCAAATTCTTCACCGGTGGACAACTGTCGTTTACAACTATCACATGCAAAACAGGCAAGATGATAAACATTGTCACGTGCTTTCCTCACCCAATCGTTTGGTTGAATTGAACGCAAGCATTTTGAACACTTGGCACCAAATTCTCTGCAAAAGAAGGTATTATGGTACTTATAGTTATCTATATGACTACACATCGTGAAATACAATTATGATCCTTACACTAAAATGTATGATACCGAATACCATTGAATAGTGACAGGTGCATACATGACTGCGGAACCCTCAGATCAATTCGGATGTGTTATATAAAACCTGTTATTTATTTTTTTCTAGTTTATGGAAGAAATAACCAACTTACTCATAAATGTCTTACTTTGTTTAAGTGGAACTATTTTGCTAATAAACTGATAAAAATAGGTGTTGTAACGAAACACAATATAGACCCATTCGAATTAACTCCATGGCCGTGTTATGCATGGAAACTGCCCAAAGATCAAGGTATAGCTTATTGCATTATTTGGATATAACATAGTCTTACGACTCGCCCTGAGAGTGCACATTGACGTAGCCTTACGTGTAGGACTTAACCTTTTTTTTGACATTATAAAAAAACATCCTAAAGTTATAGATATAAGAAGAGTGGTATGAGTGCCAATGAGACAACTCTCCATCCAAGTCAAAATTTATAAAAGTAAACCAATATAGGTCAAAGTACGGTCTTCAACACGAAGCCTTGGCTCACACCGAACAGCAAGCTATAAAGGGCCCCTAGTGTGAAACCATTCAAACGGGAAAACCAATAACCATCTTGGGACCATCATATGACATCTAAATTAGTGTCCTAAACTTATGACAGATTCTGAGCCATATCTAAACTTGAGACATGGTTAGAACAAAGATATCGGTCCATAGTTAGTTTTAAGTCTTATCGACATTGTATCACCACAATCCTATAATTTTATTTTATTTGTGAAAATTTTGTCTTCTGTGGGAAATGAATGTCAAGAAAAGTTGAAAGGCGGAGATAACTGACTTCACCGGACGTTTGTGAAGATTTTAACGTCTTGTTTGTCAATTGTCTGTATAAAAATGATTCTAGGAAATCAAATAAAAAACAGTCTAAGGAAATTTCAATTGACATCTGTGATCGGAAATTACTCCCGTCCGGTAACACCCAGAAAGTTCTTTATTCATGCCGCCATTCTTTTCCCGCCTAATTAATTCTGATCGATCTTACAAAATTTGTATTCATCCTAATGATGCTGCAGTCAAAATTCCGTTAACCCGTTCAATTGAAGCTAATTTAGCAAATAATTGTAATCTTGACTGCAGAGATCTATGTTTATTGAAGATTTTCAATAGATTTTTGGATAGTGATTTAAAGAAACTGACATGTTGAAAAGAAGAGGAAATAATCGAAAATTATAACTAAATGAAAGATAAATTTAGTTAATGTTATTTATATCGAAAGTCTTCGACATATATTAATAATGACCATTGGGTCTTAATGCGAGTTTTATTTTCTTGCTATCTACTATAGAAAGAAAAAAGTGCATTGTTTATTCAAAAAGTTATGAATATGACCAAACAATCAAATTTGAAGAAGTTGTGTATATTCATTAGGCAAATTAATTCATATTTGTGATCTATCTGAATCTTTCAATTTATATTTGTAAATAGTGTACATTATATGTTTTATTTTATTTATATTACCCTTATATTGGTGCTATTTATTCCATGTAACTTCTGTATACCATTGTTTATCAGAATGAAGATGTACAACAAAGAGCAAAACCTACAGTGGCGGATCCAGAAATTTTTATAAGGGGCCCACTGACTGACCTAAGCCCCCCCCCCGGATCCGCCTATGACCCATACCGTATAGAAAGCTATAAAGGATACCGCATGACCAAATGTGAATCATCAATCAATTACTGCTACAAAAATAAAGAACGGGTGTGTGTGTGTGTGATTTCTATTTGAAATTTTCTTCAAGTATGCATGTATTCAGTAAAATCGTTCATTTACAATGAGAGGTATACGAAAATCAGCGATCTCTGGAATTTTTATAAAATGTGACCGTAACTAGAACGTATACGTGTATATCTATATAGTGAAAAATTTAGGGCTCTTTTGTAATTTCGAAATAATATTGTACATTAAATATCCGACAAAAGAAATATTTTCAAACAGCGACAAATATAAAAAATGAATAAATTCTTAATTGTCATTTCGTCAAATACTATGTCATAGGATTTGCAACGGAACGTTTAGAAAACAATGAATCAATCAATCCGAATGGACAACAAATTCCTGTTTTCGTGGTCATAGAAAATTTGATTCCAAGTTTGGTAGCCATACAATATATTATTCATTATAAGACTTTTTTTTTTAGAATTCTCGATTTCAAATTGGGTATTATTTAAATTTGCATCATGCTATTTTTACATGCAGTTGTTTACATGCATTTTATTCTTTTACATTCCCTCTTAATTAGCCATATGTAATTCATGATATTTACAAAATGCATGAAGACATATCATTATTTTCTATACTAAAATGCAGTCCTCTATTTGCTCTGGTCGCATGTAAAATTTGAATACTAAATGATACATATATATTAATGTAGTATCTTAACTTTCCACCTTTATGTTAAAGTTCCCACAAACGTCGAGTTCTGCAGTGAGATTATTTTAAACTTTCGTGTCTATTTCAATTATTTCAATTGTTTAAAGTTCACATTTAGACATCTTTTATTATCTTAAAACTTGAAAAACAGATTAGCGTATGGGTGTCCCCGACACCTATTACATTAATAGCTTTTGATTTACAGAAAATATCCATAACAGTTTTTACACATGCAGCCGTTTTGGAACAGATTATGGCGATGTGCACAAGTTACTTTGTCGTTCAAAACATATTTATTGTGTCATTATAACACTAATTGTTGAACGAATGCAAGGCATTCTTTTTTTACAACTATCGTAAGTATAAAAAAAACTATTACGAATATCCTACTCTAGGTTGTAGTTGAACCAAATGTTCTTAACATGCACTAGTTCAGTCACATCGACACTGATATTACTATGACACGGTTGTATAGTAATCTCATACAACATTAGAAAAATGTTAATATGGGAGTTTGTTTTAGCTCGTAAGTTAAAGACGATATCATCGATATATAGTTGTATGTAAAAAAAAAGTCACAAAAGCAAACAGTTCTGTGAATCACTGGCAATTATAATATTATATTGCTTTCACTAAACACCATTTGATACATCATGGAGAATATATATTTTTGTTTGAGTGTGCATTCAGTCTGAAAACGGTGAGGTTGGTGAGTTGTCAGAGCTTTGATGACTTGTTATAATGATATTCAAAAATCATTATTACATATGTGTAAACGCGTTATAATATCTGATTTGTTCAAATTATGTTGAAAACGCAAAAAAAACTTGTTCTAAAATTCCTCACAAAGCATTATCTCAACTTCATGTAAAATGTGTCTGTCATTTTTTATCTTTAAGCGTGCTTATGCTAGTTCAGCGATGTGAACAATTTTTTGATGACGATAACCTTTCTCTCAACGATTGTGCCTGCTGTACTAAAACAATACGTAAACATAAATCTGGCTAAATAGCTTTGATCTGCATATATGAAATACACACTTTATAAATTTCGTGCGTCCGAATCGCTTTTCTGGGTTTACCTTCATCAAGAACGCTCTTACCTACACATTTGAAAGTCAGTGATGCTTAACTACGCTGCCACGTAATCATCTATATGACCAACAAGGATCTAAAACTTTTTAATTGGTTTATTTTTAAAGATTTATTTTCAAAAATACTAAATAAGACAAATACCTGGTATAGTCCATTTTACAGTAGACATTGTTTCCTTTGATGTAACACGATGACTGTCTCTCTAATCCTATCTGACATGCGCAACATCTAAGACAACTCACATGGTAAGACTGGTCATTTACACGGAGTAAATATCTGTCTACGATCAGGTCACCACATCCAAAACATAGTTCACCGTCAGGCTGCAAAGTAAAATAAAATGCAATTATTTTGTTCCTACTGATTTTTCTTTAATTTAATTATATAGTCTGAAACCCATAATCACATAATGGAAACCATTTTGGACTTTCCCCTTTGTTCGGATCTACAAAATATATGATATACAGGATTATGTAAAAGTTCCAAACTAAAGATACCTCAACTTTTACAAATCGTCTTGAAACAATTAAATTGACTATTTTATAATAAAAAGTCACAATTTACAATTGATATTCATAAATATATATATATATATATATATATATATATATATATATTGAAGAATCTTCACATGCGTGTCTCCAGCTAAGAGGGAGGAGTGTGATGAATGAACCATACGTCTTCGCATAAAAAGCTCCAAGTTAAATTTGTTTCTTTTTTTGTCATTTTGATGAACCTTTGACAGCTATCAGTAAACGAAATAAACAGGTATCGTCCTTTTTTTACTTATTTTACTTGTCATTTGGGTCAAAATTTAACTTATTTTACCTGTCATTAGGGTCAAAATTTAAAGTATTTTACTTGTTATTAGGGTCAAAATTTAACTAATTTTACTTGTCATTAGGGTCAAAATTCAACTTATAATACTTGTCATTAGGGTCAAAATTTAACTTATTTTACCTGTCAGTAGCGTAAAAATTTAACTTATTTTACTTGTCATTTGGGTCAAAAGTTACCTTATTTTACCTGTCATTAGGGTCAAAATTTAACTTATTTTACCTGTCATTAGGGTCAAAATTTCTGTCAGTAGGGTAAAAATTTAACTTATTTTACCTGTCAGTAGGGTAAAAATTTAACTTATTTTACCTGTCAATAGGGTCAAAATTTAACTTATTTTACTTGTCATTAGGATCAAAATTTAACTTATTTTACTTGTCATTAGGGTCAAAATTTAACTTATTTTACCTGTCATTATAGGGTCAAAAATTTAACTTATTTTACTTGTCATTAGGGTCAAAATTTAACTTATTCCGTTTAGTATATTTTACAACCCCTACAAAATGCAAAAGTGGTCGTTAATATCTTGATTCTAAGAGGAAAATAAGGATTTTACGATTTTTTTTTCTAATATCTTAATAGATTCACACCATTTTAGCATGTCGTTGTTATACTTCCGCATGTAAGAGATTGTAAGTCTCTATACCCATTGTCGAGTTTATATTTTTTTGTTTTTAATTTAAAACAGTACCGAGCCAGTTCAATGTTCTGCTATGAAATCACATTTTAGCCCAAAGGATGGAAGAAATATATATACTGATAATTAAACCGGATTTTTTTGTGATATTTTTTTTTAATTCAACTGAGTTTTAAATCGTTCATACATATGTTCAACGAAAGTTTAATCGAAAATTCGTTTTACAAATGAATATCCGATTGAACTTACTTAAATTATTTTTCATTATTCTTTTCACGCAGGCCCGTCCTGGCTCCTGGCTGCATGCAAGAAGAGGAACGATTAACAGTGTGTTAAGATGCAATTACGAGTCTCTTGTTAAACATAACACAAGAAATAAAGATGTTTATTTTATAATTTTCTTCGTTTATTTCTCATAGATGTAATTGACAACCTCTAAAATCGACATAAATATGTCCAACTTTAATTCGAAGCATAGCATATACATCAACAAAACTGTCTGCGCCTTTCGGAACAAACGCTCACCCCAGCTTGCATCAAAGATGAAAACATTCGAGTGACACTTGTTTCCCGTTATCTTCTCATCTCTCTGTCGTTATAGAATCATCAATATAATAAAGTGTAGCTTTTCGCACTATTAACAGAAATCATGTACCGTGGTCTTATGGGCTGTCTTATGTAATTTAAGTGTAGGGTCAGCCCTTGGACATGTTAATATTATAGTCCCAGTTCAGCCGTACAGGCGGGCCATTTTAAGAACATTGTTTATTTTTTCATTATAAGTTGAATGAATATTACGATTTTTTATATACATAAATGTATATGATTGAAATTATAAAATATATTCAAATTTTTGTTGCGTTATCTTTTTAACTGTTAGTCATGATAAAAGAAGTGTTTTCCTATTTGCTGTTATTTTTTACAGATTTTTTATATTTCATCAAGTCTATTGAAGGCGATAAAACATTATCAAATCAATATTTCTATATCATTTCTTTAATATCATTTAATAACACCTTACTACAATCAGAAATGGTATTTGATCTTTTGTGAGAAAGTCACTTCTCTGTATAAAAATATTCTAACCTGTAATTTTAACAAAGACCTATTAAAATCACCTGTCATAATGATCAATAATAGAACCACACAAGTGCGATCATGTATCGAATACCCCCCGCTTAAAAGTTTGTCTCTGCTACCGACAGATTAAGGGGATAATCCCAATGTGTGGCAGATAGGTTTACAAATGGGGCGACAATTTTGACTGAGTTTTGCGTCTTTAATGTACCGGGTATCGATTAAACCCCTGTAGTGGCTGTCAAACCCTCTTGTTGTGTCAATGTCTTTAGCATGTTCTAACATATTCGGTTAACCTTTAATTCAATTAACAGTTTACACATTTTTAGACGAGTTTGTCATTATTATTATTACCATATTTAATGAATTCCTCCACTGTTTAACTTGTTTTGAAAATAAATAAATAAATAAATAAATAAATAAATAAATAAATAAATAAATAAATAAATAAATAAATAAATAAATAAATAGATAAATAAATAATAAATAAATAGATAAATAAATAAAAATTTACAAATAAATAAAAAATTATAAATAGATAAATAAATAAATATTTTGGTTTATTTTTCAAAGTGCATATGTCTTACGATAATGGATCGAACAACGCATTGGATTGTTTAGTAATATGATTCTGTAAGAGAGTTAACTTAATGGAAATACCATAGAAATCGTCATTATTCGTCAAAATCGTTGAAACAGGAATTGTTTTATAAGTGTTTAAAAGCTAAATATTATTTAAAAGGTATCTAAATTAATAGACCATCTTCTTCTCGTGATGAAGTCATTGAAAATGGTTTTTATATATGCATTTAAATGGGCGGACATTGAAAAGAAAGAGTTAAGACGTTCGAAATGTTTCAAAATGGAAGGTTTAAGTGAAGTTAAGGGTGGATCAAAGCTTCGCGAGTAATGTATTTCCGGCTTGATACATTTTAAACGCATAGAAGATGTCGTTTTAATGGGTACAACAAAGATGCAGAAACAGTGATCCAGAAATGGAAAAGGGAAAACAAAACGGACATGCCTTATTGCGGAAATGGAGCTTCCTCGACCTTAGCGGCAAATATTTAACACGCACTGAAATACAATACCACTGAAAATATTTCGAAGCGTAGAAATTTAGATGCATGTTAGGAAATTACTTTTTTGCTCCTGGAAATTAGATTTTCAAAAATACCTTAGATGACACATTTTTAGAAATAGAACAGGGAACGATATTTAGACTGATAGACAGAGATGTAAAACTCACATAAAAAAGTTCTGTGTTAAAATAAACCTTTTCCTTTTATTCGCACTACTGATATCTTCGTGATATTCTTATTTTCACCAAACGCGTCTAATGCACGTTGGAGGTATGTAAACATATATATATATATATACAGGTTCCAGCCCCGGCCGGGGAGGAAGTAAAGAATCAAATCTACTCTAACATTGTTAGGTTGATTTTCTAGGCACTTTATATATATATATAAATATATATAAATACTTTCCATTTTAATGTTGTATTATCAGGTTCATAAAAGTATATGAGGATGATAATGGATGGCTGTAGAACGTCCAGTGTGAAATAAAATGCATATTCAGGACGACAACATGTTAAATTTAAAAAGTAGTATGCTTCAAATGTCAGAAGCGAGTTTAAACTCAAAATAGTGGTGGTTGTTGCCGGAGCGGGCGTGTCTTCCTTAGTACTATACAGCCGGCACTGATAAAACTAGCAGTTTTTTTCTTTGTACTTCGTAGGGTATACAAACATGCGACTTCTTTCTATTATTTATTTTTTTAAATCAAATCACAATTATTAACATATTTTTCAATTTCTTAGACAATACATAAAACGTCATGAACATCCAAAACTACATCGCCGCAAATATGACAGTAGCAATATATTGTATAAAAAATATCGGATACTGAATCTTGAGATTTAAATGAAAAACAATTTTCTCAACGGACACACGACATCAAGTCATATTTAGTCCATCTTTCACAATACAGAAAACATGGTGAACTGCATTCTCTTAGTGACATTCCAAAAAATGACATGCTATGCTGTAATCTGATTTAGATAATATTTTTCTTCATGTCGAAACTTTTATTGTCATAATCCCATGCTTGCATGATTCTTTTGTGATTTCCAAAAGAAATCGTAACTCATTTAGTCAAAATTTATTGATGGAATTATTGTCTCTTTTGTGGTCCTGAAACAAATAAAATTTCCTCTTTTGAGGAGAGTGTGTGATGAAATTTTCTCTATAAAAGGATTCGACTTTCAGACTGAATAAAATCAGAGTTATTTCATTATGTTTTTTTAATCGTTGTCAAAACTTGATGTTTAGAAGAATTGTCAGACTGCACTTCGTAATTAATTTTGATCAGATTTATATACGACTTTGAAGACTTTATAAATGTCAATAAGTAACTTTTATAAAATAACTTATATGCGTACTAACGTCTTCAGTCATCTTTCCCCCGAGACCTTTCATTTAAAACAAAACATACTCCTATACCAATATTGCTCAGAGATTTACGAAAAAAATTATTTGTCCATTATTTATGATGAAGAGATAATTTTAATACACATCTTTTTAACAAATAGAGGTGCTGATACTGGCCAAAATAGGTTCAGAAATTGAGAGCAAAAATAATTAGTTGTTTTAAATAAACATCACAAAATAATTTAGAGAGTTTTCGTAATTTAAATTTAAAAAAATAAAATTAAGAACTGACCTTTAACATTGTAAAACTGTATCTGTCGATAGCATCTTCTGCAGAGTCTGGTGATGAAACATTTTCCTCGTAACCGGATGGCACAGAATCGGTAAACTCATAATTGTCCGTCATTCGCATCTTGACAACATCTACAGGTATCTGGTCTTCAAATAATCTTGGGCGACTCGTTTTGAAAACTTTCTCAGAAATATTAAATGCACAAAAAAATTGGTTCAATTCAGACCGTTTACTAGATTTATTGTTAAAAAATTGTTCACGTGCTGTTTATCAAATACTGAAATAGTTCCATAATTTTTCGAATTACTCTCAGCCAATCAAATCAAAGTTTGGTCAGATCAACCTCCTGTCGTCTGTCATTCAAAAAGGATTAACAACGCACACGGAATTTGTTGCCATAACATTTATTGTGTCTATTGACCAGATGAATAAACATTTATAACACTTTACTGTAATGATTAAATAGATATTTGGGGATTAGTACATACATTATCTAGTCGTTATTAAAATAAGCACCAATAAAGTATTAGAAGTAAAGAAAAAATGTTATAAAATAAAAAGAAAAAGGGGATATGACATTTAAAAAAATACATGTTTGTTAATTTTATCATGAAATATAATCTGGAAATTTTGAAATAATAATAATAAATTTAAATTGTTTCTCTATTCATTTTTGTACTGATTCACGAGAATCGGCTGCATTCAAATATTACAATAATTATTTAAAAGTTCATTACAAAATTGTTTTGAATTTAAATGCATGTTTAACCCTTCCCGTGCACGCTACACACAGTAGTATAAACTTTGGTTTTCAATATCTTTGCGCTGTAAAGTGTTAGGAAGACATAATATTTCGAACTAACTGAAATAACCATGTAATGTCTATTCTAAAACTGCATTTTATTACACGAAAAGTTATGTTTTTTTTGGTTATTATACTACTTTCTATGAACCCTTATGACAAGTGGTTGTTAAATCTAATGACCAAGTTTGCCGTTATAGACCACGCACAGTCAGTTTTTTATAGCACATGATCTGTTACTTTTTCATATTTTACATTATTATATCATGACCAGCCAATCTAACAATACAAAATTTTTAAAAAGTAATATCGTGAAAGTTAAAAATCTTAAAGTAAAGGTTGCAATTACAAGTCAACGAAAACAAAGAAAATGCAAACGTAGAACCGGAAGATAATCGGTTAATGAGTTAAAACATTTTTTTTTTAATTATGACTCGCGTGGACTCTTTAGAAATCCTTACACGAATGCGCAAACGGTTAGACTTCGTGATTAAACAGTTTCGGAACAACCACGTGATGGCAGTAATGTCTTAACATGGTCCAAAGTTGGGAAACAGAGATCATTAAACGACAACTGCCGGATACGAGATGCTTCGCTTTAAAGATAAAACGGAAGTTAAAAGTTCTATCTTATAAACATAAAATAAAATTATTTTCCGAAAACACGCCACTTCTACAATTTTCTAAAAGTGTGTTAATACAGTGCTTACATACAATTTAATTAGCCAAAAGGAAACACTTTACTGTCGGGTTTATCGCTGAAACAATCAAACATTTTACAAAATATTTAACTGGAAGTATGCATGGATATTCATACGCATTTTTTAAATACATAAAGTTTAATTAAATTAAGAACGAAACATGATTTCGTCATCTGTGACATAATAGCCAATTAGTCAATGTGGAAGATCACACTGATTAATTAGTTACCTGACATTTTAATAAGTCCAAGCATGCACGAGAATTTAAAAGACGAAGCCCATCTATTAATTACTGGAATACGACAGATATTTTATGAAATACACATACACGAGAAATATGCAGACTTTCCACCCGCCTACGAACACAAATCTTCAAAACAACATTAAAGTACTTGACTCAGGAACATAAATATACTGTTCCCAGCTTGACTGAATTATTTTTTTTTACTCTGATATAAATTTTTAGTTGGGAAAAACGGATATGATAGTATATTGTTTAGCAGAAGTCATCAAATGAAATACCTATAAGCAACAATTAACACATTAAAGTACCAACACTTACTATTGATTTTGATATTAATTAATAAATGAATAAATGTTTGTTGAATGATCATCTATTAGTACTCCTTTTAAGTTGGTTCTATGTGATCCCATTTGTTTTTGTTGTTCCATATGTAAGGGGGCGGGGATTTAAAAGATAACCGATTGTAATCGCGCGCCATATGCTTTAAATTGTGTGTAAGAAAATCGTAAACATCCTATTTGAAAGGTTTAAATTCACCTTACAAAATCGGCAAGATAAAATAACGTTTTATAGCAGACAATTTATCAGACTTTCTCCTGCGAGTGTTGTATTCGCTGTTTACCCTTCCGGAACACCTGATATCTCTCTGTTTACTTTGTATTGTCCGAAGTTCTATCATACAATGCCAATACTGTAAGACAAAAATGTTTTAACTACGAACCTAACGTAAAACCTTTATTTTCCTATAGTTTTCTCTAATATTACAAGGGGACCCCGCATTCTTTAATGTCGTATTTCATACTTGTCGGTGTTCTAGAAACTAAAGAAAAACTGTATGTACTTAACTACGCAATCGTGAAAAAAAAAGAAATTTTATTTTATTTCTCCACATTTTTATGATTAATTTGACAATAGTCCATGCTTATTTTGCATTTTTTTTAAGAAACGGAGTCCTGTGATATATTTCATAATTGCTAATTTGTAAAAGTCTACTTTTTTGGACGTTGCCGTAACGAATGTAAATTTACATATAATAAGGTTTACATTTTAACAATCAACCCTACATTTGAAGCTTATATCTTGTATCGCTAAACTTGACTTTTTACAAAATTATATGTTCTCCAGAAGGATTAGTGTTTCTTTCCAACTGTGACACCGACAGTAAGAAAGCTAGTAAGTAAAATAAGCACGGGTTCAGACGGAAAGTTAATGCAAGCAGAGAAAACTGTCCACCTAATTTACCGTGAGCGTGAATTCAGCAGATGATAATTCGAAGACTAACAATACCGGCTAAAATAGACGTACTAATTCAATTCAGTCAACGGCCTTTTATGTCGCGGATGAGTTTTAGTAGTAACCGTAAATAGAACGAAATGGATACAGAAAGGGAGTTTTCGGATTATAACTCTAGAGCCTTACAAGTGATCGAAATCAAGCTTCATATGAAATTTGAATCTGATAATTTCTGGGCTACCTTTGTTACATTCTCTTTTAGTATTCATATTGGGTTCTTTTTCAAAAAAGACTTCATCCCTAAGGATTTTTTGGTAACACTGGCTTACAACTAAAATTAGAATAAAAAATCAACCTAACAATGTTAGAGTATATTTGATTCTTTACTTCCTCCCCGATCGGGCTGGAACTTGTACTTTTCACTTTTCACTTCTACAACAACACCGCCTAGCATTCCACTGATGCCTTATCCCCTCCTCTATATATAGCTGATAAAGTTGTTATATATATCTGAGGTAAAGCCATGTTTTATTGTCTTTGAGATATATATCAATCATCTTTCGATGCAAAATACTACAGACATGTAACATTTGCTGTACTGTATCAGTATTATCGTCAGCAATGGATAACATTTGATTATAGATTTTGATTTTATGGATGCATAAAAATATTTTTCGAAACATCTGTATGTAATTTCATAAAGCCTGTGTATAATATTCTAAGTTTAATTATCCTTCAATGCTTCCCCCGCAAGGAAAAGAAATAAAGAAAAAATTGTGGTACTTTGGTAATTTGATTTTTTTTGTGCAAAATATACCTTTGATATATTTAGTTAGCGTTTGTTGCCATTTTGAGTACCAGTTTGTACAAATTTGCAATTTGAAGCCTTTGTTTGTATATCAGCATGTTAAGAATTTTAATTTGGCGTCCAGTAACTGCATACGAGTATTTCTTGATACCATATATAATGTATTCATATTTTGGTAATGTATCTCTTGTTTACTATTACAGTTGACTTGTTATTATATAGTTATTGGAACTTTTTCTTTACTTAATTTTATTGTGCGTTCTTTCACGAACCCTTTTGTTAGTCCACCCACATATTGAGATTACAGCGGGGAAGTGTTAAGATCTAGACATTATCGATGATAGTCGCTATTTGTTTTGAGACCCCGGGCTATTAGAGATTTTGATACTGCATAGGAACAAGTCTGTTGTTAGAGACTGTATGTTGACCTATAGATACTTATATTTTGATTACTATATTTGCTTCGTTGGGTTGTTGCCTCATTTATGTACCTGCCGATTCGCCAACAAACATGGTCGCCGTGACTTTTCTAATTTCGGATTGGCTGAACTCAATTTAGAACGACTGAACTACATATATATGCAATTGAAGCCCAACTTAAAAAGAAACGTTCCAGTTTCGACTTGACTTTTTAGTTACATTACATGTTTGTAAAAACTTTCATCATTATATTTTTAAAGTTCAGTCGAATGAAAAAATAGGCTTTTGTGTAGATTTCATACTGTGCTTGCAAATTAGAAAGCAACAAGAACATTCGTATACATTCATAAATTTTTAGTATGAACACTTCTGATTTTATCCGTTTATGGTGAACGAATGTTTTGTTTCCCGATCTTATTGAGAAATTATTTCATGAATATAAAGCGTGTGATGACCCCGTATATTGATATTTATGGAATAATTCCTCAATATCGAAACACTAAACATTCGTTCATCATAAACTGAAT